TAACCTTTGTTCATATTTTTGGGTAAATAAAAACCCACCTTTTTTTGAATTCAACTACCAGGCGTATTGTACTGCCTGGTCCCTGACAATTGTGTATCGTAGGATCATTGTCCACACACAGTAGCAGTGTGTCCACTCCAGTGCAGCCTAAACTCAGCCCTGTACACTGTGGTCACGTTAATCTAAGAACATAAATGCTGAAAACTAATTTAAGTTGACCAGGTAAAACTCTTAAAGGCTTTAATGAGAACACAACTCTCCGTCTCCATGGAGATGCTGCACTCCACACTTCCTTTACTTACTCCCTTTATTTCTACATAGAGTGGCTAGTGTTCTCAATGTACTTGATTGCAAACACTGAGTAAAACATTTTAGTTGAAATGCTGAGTTTGCAAAAAATTGCAATATCATAAAAACACAGCACTCATGCTGGCTATACAACTTGGAAATGAATGAAACAAAATACTAAGAGGATGAAATCAGTAAGAAATGTTTAGCAGCCCTCCATTACAAAGTTCCACCTATAATTAAGGGCTGTTTTCAGGGAATATTTCTACCCACTTTTATGTGATGTGTCCCAGGTGGGAGAAAAACTACCGTGGTTCCTGAAAAAGTGCATTTCCACTGCAAGAACCTGAAGGTACTGTAGACAGCGCTTCAAGACTTATATTTTTCATTTTATATGCAAAGTACCCTGTGAGTTTTCCACTTTCAAAGAATAAAGAAATGCCAACAGTAGTTGATCCGATTCTCAATGTGACTCGTTTTACCTCTCCTGGGTTTGCCACCTTCTCTTGGACTCGTGCGCTCCACTGTAACGTGTCTCTGTTCAGGACTTTGTAGTTCCCGGAGAAAATGGATTTGATCTCAGTCAGAGTGAAGGAACACACCGCTGACCTTCCAGAGTTCACGGCCCTGTGTTATGGAAAACAGCTATTAATAAATAAATAACAGCCATGATGTCTATAGAAATCATCTTTGAGATCCTCCTTAATGGGGATGTGGGAAAATTTGTACAAAGGCAAAGTCTGAGATTGATAAAGATGTCACATTGGCATCTACTTTTTAAGAATCTCCAGTGATAATGTTTAAAACCTTGCATTATAAAATATATTTTAGAGTACAATCCCAAAATGGCAGGAAGAAATACAAAAATATTTTGAGGAGGCTTGTAAGGAAAGTAGGGTGCTGCTGAGATGATGTGAGAAGGTACGGTGGCCGACAGATGCAAATGCAGAGCAACAGAGAAAACATGCAAACAAAAAACGAGACAACAAATGAAATGCAGCAAACAAAAAGAGATGGCGCAAACAAAGAGCAAATAAAATGCAGCAAACAAAAAAAGGGACGAGAACAAAAGACCCCCCTGCTTTGCTCGACCAAAACAGCAGAAGATGCCTCAGCACTGCGGGATATTGTTGATCAGATCGACGGACTATTGACGTGAGGGCTTGACAGACCGTTTACTTGTGTTTAGCACACAAGCACGCACGCTCGCACGCGCACACACTCGCACGCGCGCACGCGCACACACACACACACACACGTTTGTGTTGCTATCTTTGTGGGGACTTTCAATTGACTTCTATTCATTTCTACAGCCTAAACCTTACCTTTACCCTTTTCCTAACCCTAAGCATCACATACCTAACCCTATCCCTAACCAAAACTCAATTCATACCTTAGCCCTAACTCTGACCCCTGACCCAAAAACAGGGTTTCCCCTTGTCGGGACCAGGCTCCGGTCCCCACAAGGAGCAATTGGTCCCCACAACATAGTATATGTCAGGAAAATCGTCCCCAGAAGGTATTACAAACAAACGCACACACACACACACACACACACACACATATAGGTTTTTTCATGTTTTCCAGTCAACGAGTTCTATCTTAAGAGTGATTGGGTCCAAAATCCGATGTGAGATTCATCTGTGCTGTGCAGTGAATCTCTCTTCTTAAAGACATTTCTCCCTTCTTCCTCACATCATGTCTTAGGGAAACCTTCAAAACAAAAACAGGAGATTTGGGATGTTTCTTACTTTGACAAAGTGAAATAAATAATAGCCATTGCCACCTGTGTAAACTTTACTGGTGAATGTTATAACATGTTTTTATGATATATATTGTATTATATATTATATTTATGATTTTTATAATATATATTATATTGTGTCATTTCTATAATAGGCTCCTGTATCAGATATCTAAGTCAATGTTAGAAAATAACTGAAACTTTTTAAGATAATCTCGGTTAGCTTTCAGAGCGGGGGCTGAACACCAAGCACTATAGCGCTATACCAGCTAGCATTAGCTGGTATTTCGCCAGTGGACATAAATACAGTAAAGTAATATTCTAATCACAAAATATACACAATAATATGTCCATCTTACTTGCAAAATGTTGTCTGTCGAGCCCTCACATCAATAGTCCATTGTTACTCTTCTTAGAAAGTGGGAATTGAATTGATGCTCTAATTTGTGGATGTTGACCAGATTAAAGCAAATCCACCTGAATCCCCGCCCACAGTCCTGGAGTAACCAGGGAAACAGCCCTGCAGACAGAAAACCTGCATCACTGACCACTGAGAGGTGAAGATGCCGTAAAACAGTATGTCATCCACTGAAGTGCCCTCTGCCGGTGGAAGCAGATCAATATCCTGGATCACATTGTAAGGGAGCTCGCTGCCATCTTGGCACAACAGCTGAGCTTTGGCAAACGTGGTCCATCGTCTCTGCAGAGTGCGCTGACCTCCGACATCACTCTGATGGGTCACAGGAAAAACACTTGAAAAAGTTGATTCAGACTACTGAGCATTTCACAGCCAAATCATTAACACCCCACCACCGTGCTTCATGGTTGGTATGAGGGATTGTGCTTATATCTAATGTATGGCTTTACTTAACATGGACATGTGGAATTATCACAAAAATACATTTACTTTCTGGTTTCATTTAGATGAAGAAGAATCAGACTGGGAGCTGAAGTAAATGTTTTCCATTTGGGAATTACCTTCCATACTGTACAGTGATGGTTTACAGATGGTTTGGTAACATTTTACCATTCACTAGATTGATGGCCAGTTATTCCTGCTGTCTTTCCACCATGATTTCATGTTAACACACACACTGTGTTTTCCAGAGGAGCAAACGGCACTCACTCCAGCTTTTACAGGTCCTGATCAAGTGGATTTGATCAGCTGCACCTGGCTGCTGTCATAAAAGCATCAAGAGTGAATCTAGTTTTATGGTCATTTTAGCTTCGTCTTTCATTTTAGCTCAGTGAACAATGGCAGTTCTTTCTGTACTTCAGGTTAGATTTAATTTAAATCTGATGATTTTCATTATGTCCAGGTATAGACTTCAAAGACTGTGTGCTTTTTTTCTAAACTTGGCTGTATGTTTAGAATTGCTTCATATGTATGAAAAACAACAAAATGCTGTGGCAGAATGCTTTTAAAGCCATAGGCAGGTGTTAAACCACCTGCTGCTCATCAGATTAATCACCACAGAAATCTTTTCTTTATCGAATTTAATTCTAGCTGAACATTTAGCTATCACAACTCAATTCACTTCAGTTTATTTATATAACACCAATTCACAACAAATGTGAATTTGTGCTATGCACTCAAGGCACTTTACAAAAACATCATTACAATTCAGTCACACATCCATTCCAGTTGATCTAGTTATCAAACAGTACAGTATGCTCAGTTAACTATTCAAAGTAGTTTCAAAAGTTTCCAAGTCTCTTTGCTACTAACTTGGGTGATCACTGTGATTAACTGTGTGCTGCTGCTCAAGGTCAGAGTTCAGTGATTAACATCTTCACCATTTTTGCAACTTTTGGCTGAGGTTTGTAAAGGAGCATAGCAAAAAAATGCTTTTTTCTTCTATACATGATGATGCAGGTCCTTTGAACCTACCATGCAGATCTGAGAAACACGAGAGACAATGAACTTGTCTACGAAGTTATACTCTCTGCCCACTTCACTGAAGAAAAAGTAGATTTTCTCCTCATGTGGAATGAACTTGGAGCTGATGAAGGTTGGATCTACAGGAAAGAGGATACAAAAGGTCAATGTATGCAAATGTACAGAGAAAATCAGATTGAGAACTTTGACCTGGGCCTCTCAAGGAAATGTCAGCCTTTTAAATGTCAGAACAGATGTGCATCTTTTTTACTCAATAGAAATCAGTGAAAATACAGTAGGATTTATTCACGCCTTTGCCTGTGTATGTTGCAGACTGGACCCAGATCAGCAAGATGCTGAAGCTGTTGCCCCAGACCGCTGGGAACGAACAGCATCCCACAGACTGTCATCAGCTGCAAACTGTTTAAGCTGGCTTTAGAGTCAGCACATAAAAACAAAACAGCGTCCTGGAAGGTGGAGCCAAAGTGTATTTACTTATCAGTGAGCCTGAGTACAACTGCATTACTTTGAAATGTGTCAGGATGAGAGTCAGTGCACACACCCTCCAGCCATCCTAAAGTGTCATCCAACTTAAGGTCCACCCGGCTGCCCTCACTGAGGTGTCGGGAGATGACTGGTCGGTTCCCTCTGTAGTCTGCCACAGTACCGGTGTAAAGCTCTTCACCTGAGTAGCACACACAACACACAGCAGCCAGCACAAGATTTATTAATTATGTTATGCTTTTCTTACAGAATGGACTATTTTTGCATCAGTCAATGGAAAAAGACTCATTTTCTTGCAGCATGGTTCCATTTACTTTAGAATTTCTCTATTTTGGAAATCAGTCAACTTTACTATATCAAAGTATGTCGGAGAAAAGCTGTTGATTTCTTTTCATTTTAGAGGCAGACTCTGTATCAATGTCAACAAAACTGAGAAATTGATTTTCTGCATCTTTCGGGAAATTATGTTCTTAATTTCCTGGTAAAATAAAAAGAAGATATGATTAAACTGAGGTCTTTAACTTAGTGTGATGTATTCTAAAGACTGTAAAGTAAAATACAAACAGTACATGATAGGCTGGATTTCTTTGTTAAATTTGTTCATTTCTTGGGCTCTGAATAAAGAAAAAGGAGCGAGTGAACACTAAAGCTTAAACAATAAAACCTCCAACACACACACACACATCTTTAGAAGGTGAGTAGAGTCCGCTCTCTTTAGGAGGGAATATAAAAAATGACTGATAGATTTCACGTTAAATGTGTAACAGTGAAGCGGTCGCAGTAGTGGCAGCATTTACCTTACCCACAATGATAGCAGTGTTGCGCTGGTAGGGGTCATAAGGGCAGCGACCTCTCCCTTCATCAGTGTTGAGGCTCATTGTGAGTGTCTCTGAGTTCTGGTCAGAAAAGTCAAAAGTCATCAGTTAAAGGATTTTAAGACATCTAAGAGACATCAAGGTGTCTCATTTATATGACCCTGCACATGGACAGACATCTTTTCTTAATTAAAAATATTGTGAAAAAGTTACTGATCTCCAAAAGCAAACCTTATGCATTAGATGGACTTATTATACATAGAGTGAACTAGTTCAAGCATATTCATGTAATTTTGATAACTATGGCTGACCTAGAATATGAAAACACAAAATTCAGTGCATCAGAAAATTGAATATTGTGAAAATTTCAACATTCTAAACTCATTGTGTTATACCCTTATGAGCCAAACATCTGAAAACAGCTGCAAAGGTTTATCCTAACTGAATAACATGAAGTGATCTTACAGCAGAGATATGCCAGCATAAAAACTTACGATATATGCGCAGCGTGGACTAAAGGCGAATGTTCCACACACGTACATGTGAGTGCTGTTGAAGAACTGCAGAACTCGGATGAAATTGGGACAGTCCGCCTTAAAAACCCAAACAGAAAAGTTAGAGTTCAGATGATAAAATAAAACCAATAAAACCAGTTTCCCACTGATAACAGTTAGAACCTGATGAGAGCCCCACAAAGTCTACAGCTCTACCCAGAGATATCCGTTACTATAGTGACGGTGAAATGGTGCTAGCCATTTGGGTGCCATGAGCACCAATGCTTTGTGGAACAAATTAAAACACTAAAGAGCATATGCAGTGGAAATGTAAACCCTATATTCAGGTTGATGAACCTGGATGATTTTCTGTAGCTGTAGATTTTAAAAGACAGTGAATAGTGAATAGTCTACTGTAGTTACTACAGTAGACTATGATGGGATAACACTTTCAGAGTGAAATGTCAGAATGAAAACATGAAGAGATTTTTATTTTCTCAAGCAGATCTGTTACATTTATATCTATTAACATGCTTTGCACATTTTTATTTTAAATAGCTCACTATTATTATGACTTCTAAAATTATGATGATATTTTATGTCCCTATTCTTTTGGAATGGAGAGAATGATATGAACTATCTCACCACTGTCACTGTAATCATTTAAATGTTTTTAATCACTGATACCTCGGGATTAAATGTTCTGGCTGGAAAATGTAAAGTTATTTAGTCCATACAGGAATTTGGTGCATAAATGCAAATCAACACTTGCCATTTTCTTGCCCTTCATGGAACACTCTTCTAGGTCTTTTTCGGAAGGGCTCCAGTCCAGCTACAAAAAACAACAGATTCAGTATGTATGGAGTGAAAATAGTCTCAAAATATCTGTGCGTGTGTAAAAAGATTTGTGTGTGTGTAAAATTATTTGTACGTGTGTAAAAAGATTTGTGTGTGTGTAAAAATATCTGTGCGTGTAATACTGGATTTGTAAACCTTAAAAATAAAATAAACCTTCTCCTACACCAATACATGTTGAAAAAGTACACACAAATCACCTGGCACACACACACAAAACTGCATTTACACATAGATCCGGTTACGAGTGCACAACTATTTTTGAGAGTCATTTCACGCTTCGGGGAAGCGTGAAATGTGTAGATGGTGCGTTTACATGCTAGTAAAAGCTGGCACATCTGAGTTTTGCTCTGAGTCTAGTGTTTTTATCCTCTGACGTTTCTCACTGTGCTTGTGCCAAAGTGGCAAATACTTTAGCTCGTGGAAAACGGAATATATCAGCACTTCTTTTTAATATCCTAAAATTATTTATAGACATATTGTGCATTTTTGAGCAGTACAGGAGACTAAGTGGTCTGAAAAGGGACCACTGGGTGGCGGAATGGTTCGCTGGCTGGAAAAATAGCCAGGCAAACCCAGAAGCAAGACGGAGCGTCCCGGTGGTCTGTCCTCTGAAGTAAGTAGAAGTTAAACCTGCAGGCTTTGCTCTCCGATTATAATGACACATGGAGTAATTATAAATGATTTCAGGTTACGTTTTATATGTCTGGTATTTTGATACTCTGCCCTCCTCATGTTTCTGTTAGCGGGAGCTAATGTTTATGTCAGCTCTGCTACTTTAGTTGTTGGGAGCTAAGCATGGACTTTTACTGTCACACAGTTTGATAGTCTGTCTTCAGTCTTAACTTTAACCCAGGTTGATTAAGTTTTATGATGCCGAAGTCGACAAGCATCTTCAGGAGATTATGGCAGTTATAGATGTTGGTCACTATCACTGAAACCGTATTTTGTTGCTTCAGCAGTAATGAAGGTAGATCTGGACCTGCAGGAACATCATCTGCAGCTAGACTTTATTCACCATAACAAACTGAAAGGTACTTCATTTATGTTGACTTTTCAACATTTAGTCTAATGTTCACACATAGGCCTGTCAGAATAATCAATAAATCAATTAATCAGATGATAAAACAAACTCAATCATTTCCATTGGCATGATTTATTGTTTCTCTTTTTTTCTCTCTTTGTACCAAAAACTGGATAATAAAAATCTTCAGTTTGGTACTTTGGTCTCGATTAGACCTTATTTTGAAAAGCAATTTGTTTGAGAAGACTTCAAAATTCATTAGTTTTATTTATTCTGGATATTAAAAATGTCTTCCAGTTCCAGTGTTAAATGTTCATTAGAATCTGAGAATGTGTTGCATTAGTATTTCATCATTACCATTATATAACTTAAACATGACCTCAAAAGAACTATATTATCGTTTGTTGAGAACTTTGGAACAATTTATCATACAGTAAAATGTTTCATGGTAACAGACCTATTCACACATCCTCCAGAATCTTCAGATTAAACTGTGTTTGTGTCTGGACCCCATTTCATCGGCCCTTAAACAAATATATACCTCGTCTGCAAACCAGGACAAACCTGCTGTTCCTGTTCATCTTCATTTCAAGTTGATGAATGTAGATGGTAAAATGTATTCAGATGGTTTAAATTTTCACATGCAGTAAATTTCTTTCTCGATTGATATTATGACACAATTGAGAGCTAATAGACATACATAAGAAAATAAAGATTTTATGCATTTATTTAAAGCACCACTGCAAAAATAGCAGAAAAACATTTAATGTAAAACCTTTGATCAACATAAAAATAAACATTTCTACATACATTGTGATGATTCAAGTCATTTTTAGGTTCACTAATGTTCTGTCAGTCAGGTCTATCGGTGCATCAGCTGTTCAGGAAAATCAACATAATTTCTTTCTAACATTAACTGTCTATTTGTACTTTTCTCTGCATCTTCAGGCAATCTGCAGCAGCTGAGATTCTAGGAGGTTCAACACCAAAACCTGAAGCTTCAAACTGAGCCGTCAACTGAACCAAGATGCCTTTCAAACAACTACAGTAGTTAACCTGCTCTGTTGGTAGATGTTATGGTATATCCTTAATCTGTACAGACTGACCTTGGTCTTATCTGAATAAACAGCTTTATGGTGTTTTCTTTTGTTAATTGATTATAGTAAATATTTGAACATCCATGTAAGTTTGAAGACATTTTATTGTTAACTTTAGGTAGCTGTGAATCCACCCATGTTAATCTGAACCTATTTTGTTAAAGATTCAACAGATTTGTTGCAATCTTAAATATTTAATCTGTCCTTTGTGTGCAGTAAGGTGAACATTAAAGTTAATTCAGGAAACACTTGTCATCTTCTTTCTACAGTAAAAATTGAATGATGCCTCTATTAAAATCTTATATTTGTGACATCAAACTTTTTTTCTGTCATAAAGCAGTGATCAAACTATGGTTAAATGTTTGTAATTTACTTTCAATAAATGGAAACCAAAATGGTTTTAAAGTAAAGGCGCTATGTAAACTCATCTACCTCAACACAGGTAAAATTTCCACTGTACACAAATAAATGTAATTACGATTAAGTGAAAATTGTATAGCAGGGCTTTAACTCCAGTTCATAAGGGTCGGTGTCCTCCAATCTTTAGATGTCTATTCTTTAACGCACCTGAGTCAAATCATGAGGTCAGAGGTCATTAGCACGACTCTGGAGGACTTGACTGTCCTAAGCAGCCATTTAATTCAGGTGTGTTGGACCAGGACGTATCTAAATGTTGCAGGACACCAGACATCGATGCCTGGATCTGAGGATCCTGTTAGAGGATCAGTGTGTTCCTGCAGCAGCTCCATCGGATCAGAAGGTAGATGAGATCTGAAAGATCCTGATCCTCCAGTAAGTCAAATAACACCAGACCCGATCCATCAGTCAGCCGTTTCATCCTGTGTAGAGATAAATATAAAATGTTATTTATACACAGAAAGTCAATAAACTAGAATCGAAAGGCAATTTATTTCACTTAATTATATTCACTTAGTGAATAAAGTAAAAGGCAAATCAGAATATCTCACAAACTATAGATACAAATATCAGTCAGCAACTTGACTTAGAAATGTGATTGGAACCTTTTGGGCAAAACAGATACTGTAAGAACTACACAGAGATCATTTTTTATGGATTAAAGATTCAAACTGTGCAGAATGAGACAATAAAAATACACGGACTCAGCTCCCAACAGCTAACGTAGCATAGCTGACATAAACATTAGCTCCCACTAACAGAAACATATGAGGAGGGCAGAGTATCAAAATACCAGACATATAAAACGTAACCTGAAATCATTTATAATTACTCCATGTCTCATTATAATCGGAGGGCAAAGCCTGCAGGTTTAGCTCCTACTTACTTCAGAGGACAGACCACCGGGACGCTCCGTCTTGCTTCTGGATTTGCCTGGCTATTTTTCTGGCCAGCGAACCATTCCGCCACCTGCCACCCAGTGGTCGCTTTCCAGACCACTTAGTCTCCTGTACTGCTTAAAAATGCACAATATGTCTATAAATAATTTTAGGATAATATAAGGAAGTGCTGAGATATACCGTTTTTCACGAACTAAAGTATTTGCCACTTCGGCACAAGCACAGTGCAAACGTCAGAGGATAAAAACACTAGACTCGGAGCAAAACTCAGATGCCCCAGCTTTTACTAGCATGTAAACGCACCGTCTACACCCAAATCTAGGAGCTTCCCCGAAGCGTGAAATGAGTCTCAAAAATAGTTGTGCAATTGTAACCGGATCTGTGTGTAAATGCAGTTTTGTGTGTGCGTACCAGGTGATTTGTGTGTACTTTTCAACATGTAGGAGGAGAAGGTTTATTTTATTTTTAAGGTTTACAAATCCAGTATTACACACGCACCGATATTTTTACACAAACACACAAATCTTTTTACAAACGCACAAATCTTTTTACACACGCACAAATCATTTTACACACACACAAATCTTTTTACACACGCACAGATATTTTGAGACTATTTTCACTCCATAAGTATGAGTATGAGTGTAATGTCCATATCAACCACCAGAGGGTGCAACAACAGGCAACATTTATTATGTCACTGCTGGTTTAGGACAAAGGAAAAAGGCTGCTTCCATGCAACAATGATCCCATAATGTAAGAGTAACAAACATTTCAGTAAAGAAAACATCAATTTTCATAAATTCTCAGAAGCAAATCAGAGTTAAAACAGAAAACCCAAAGAACAAAACCTGATGGTCACATCTCAGATGACCCTAAACCATCCAGAACCTATACCGAACAGTTCAGTGTTTAGTTTCTGCACTGAACTGCTGATGATGACTGAGTCAGACTACCAGAGGCTTCAGCTTCTGGTGAATGTATGGCCTCTAATCACCACTGAACTGTTGTTCTTTATATGCTGTGGCATTACATGACATAGTGACCAGTGTTTGGCATTGTTACGTTGTAAACAGCTCAGCCTTTGCTTCACTGTGTTGCCATGTACTGCAGTGGGACTTTGCACGGTTGAATTGTGACTTCCAAAGGAAACTTAATGCGGGGCTTATCCTAGGTTATATTGGATGAAACTTAATGAAACCACTAAAAAGTCCATTACATTCATCTACATCAGTGGCGTCCAAACTTTTTGTCACCTGGACCAAAATTGTCAAGTCAAAAGTACTCATTGGCCAAAAAAAATTTTTAAATCACAAAAGATGTACAGTATTTTTTGTTTTTTGATGCTCAATGACAAACAAATTATACAATAATTCTAAAGAAGTTAGTTTTTTGTTGGAAAGGGAAGTTTAAATCATTGCAGAACTTTGAGTTGTTCACATTATTAAAAGAAATAAATCCTGCTTGTAAATTATTTTGGGCTCAGATGAAAAAAATATTCACCCTGTTTTCAGTAAATAAGACCAGGATTTGGGTCACTCTCTTTAGTAAGTCAGGTTTAACAAATTAACTCAAAGCAGATTTGGGCTCTCTAAAGTCTAAGTAGAAGTCAGTTGATAAATGTCGTCCTATTTACTATCAAATTAAACAGAAAGCATGGTTGTTAAAAACAAATACTTTGTGTTGTACTTAATAAATTCCATTGTAGAAAATGTAATTTGTCCGTCTTAATTTTGATCTAATTAAAGAAAAACAAAAAGTCTCCATCTGCATCAACCACCTGTTCTGGCGGGCCACACATAATCAGTGAAAAGGCTGCAAATGGAGAAGAGGAAAGAGGCAGCCACAAATACAACACAAAAAACACAGAAAATGTCAGGCTATGAAAAACAAGTACATTATTACATCGACCTGAAGAACTTTTTGTTGTTCCCTAACCTTGCTCCTCAGGAGGACAGTGTCTTTATGACCAACATCCAGCAGTAACACAGCATCACGTGCTCCTACATACAGCTTTTCTCCATCCGCACTGAGAAGAAGGGTTGTGGTGTTACTGAGGTCATGGCTGCTGAAGCAGGTGAGACGTCTCCCTGGGCTACCTGTTATTTAACACACAGCAATACATCTCAGTTAAGAACAGAATAAAAGAGCTAAAGGTGTAAACAGATGGGGCCTCTTATTGGACAGGAGACCAAACAAAAGCTTACATGATACTGAAGTTTATCATGTCAGAGAAGTCAGAAAAGTATCAGTGGGATGAGAAAAATGATGGACGCAAAGTTACTGAGCAATAAATCACCAGCTTGGTATGCAGGGAAACTTTTTAAAATAGAATCTTAGCTGGTTTTCTGCACAGCATACTGAATGAATCCTCATCACAATGTAAGTGTCACTAAGATCCTCATCACAATGTAAGTGTCACTAAGTACCGTTTTGGAACAATATTTGGTAGACTGCTAAAATTTATGTGTCATGCATTTATGCTCTGCATCTCAGTGATATACTTGGCCAATTATCAGGTCTTCAATGTCCAAATCTGATGAACATTGCTGGTGGCTGTGACACAAAAGCTCAGAGTGGTGTACATTGTATGATTGTAAAGAAAGAAAAAAAACAAAAGACAAAACTGGGAATATTGTAATCATCACAGTTTCCAGCAATAATAACAGAAATACATGTCTTCCTGATGTTGTACAGTCTCGCCTCCAGAAAAAAAACTAAATGTTTTGATATTTTGCATACATTTTGAGTTCTGTATTCTGTCAAATTATTTCAATCCTAATACTGTAACTGGTTTACTGTGTTCTATCATAATTCCAATGATTTCCATTTTCTGAAAGCATTGGTAGGCTTCAGTTATATAGTTCTTCTCAAATAGACTTTTAACTAAAATTATCTTTTAAAAGGGGCAGTGTTATGTACTTTCCAAACATATAGTGGCATTTCATAGCCCAATCAAGTAATTATATTACCTTCAATTGCTGTACATATGCTGTATATATAAAATATGAATTAAAATAAAATTGACTTTGTAATTTAACACCTTAAAATTGGTCCCTTTTCTCTTTAAAAACGCAGACTGTTTCTGAAACTCCTCCAACAGGAAGTCGTCACAGCATTGTTCCTCTATTAACACCTTAATGCAGAGGTTCCCAAACTGTGGGCGCCGTGCCATTGCGGGGGTGCGGGAAGCCGTCTGGATGAAAATAAAAAAATAAAAAAAATAAATAAATAAACGCTGTATGCGCTCGGTTTTTACCTTAGAATGGCCAACTCTCTGTTATTCCCCTGTCAATTTGATACAGTAGGGGCTTCCGCACTTCCCATATCTGTGTCCTCTGTCACTTTTATCAGCAGTTAAATCCGTTGTTTAATCCGTTAACATGTTGTAACCTGTTTTTCCGAGCCGCCTTTAAACGCAACATGAACGCTACGACACTTGCGCTGGGTTTACACCTGTGCGGCAGTGAAGGAGACCTGCTGCTGCTGTGCAGAGCTATGCAGGTGTGTGTTAGAATCCTGGCAGCAAAACGCAAAGAACTTTTCACAGTTTTTCCCTCAAACTAACAGACTGTTGAGTAAAGCTGTTGGATGCAGGTAAAGTTAGCTAAAAGATGACTAGCTAGCTAATATTAATACAGCACCTTAAGCTTGTTAACAAGTAGCTTGTAGGCTATTGGTGTTGTGTTCTATGTTCAGCTACGATTCATTTTGCCCCCCAAAAACCCCACCCCCTTATTTGTCTGGAGCCAGGGCAGAGTATAACAGAGTCTCTAAATCCACCGCACCCCCTCGCTCAAACAGATTGTTCAAGACAGTTACAATTTGTAAGCCATGGGGGGGGGGGGGGGCGAATAGTTGGAAAACCCTTGGGGGGGCCCAGGAGAAAGAGTTTGGGAACCACTGCCTTAATGTGTTTATCAGCATTGCACAGAGAAGTAGCTTGTATACTGAGCGGTTCAACCAGGTTTTTGCTAATTGGTCCCCCCAGGCTGAATGGTTGCCGTTGGAGATTCAAGGATTTCTCAAATATGCATTAAAGAAACAAGGCAACACTCCATTTTGTTGAGGGAATAACTTTATAACATGACGCAAAGCTCAAAAAAGTCATTTTAACATAATACTGCCCCTCTAACCTGTTAGTGCCTAATGCTGCTTCCCTTCATCTCAGCGCCTCTGTTAGGCACTTCACTTAGAGGCACACTGCTTCATTCCTGAAAGTGAAGGGTAAAGCGTTCGCTGTCTTCAAGTATCAGACCATCAATCATGTGGAACACAAAGACGAGGCTTCACTCACCCATTGGGAAGGAGACTCTGGGAGTCAGCCTGGTCAGGCATGGGTTCAGCAGAGGCAGCAGGGTTACGGTGAGACGCAGCAAGCAGAAACTGTCCATTAGCTCTGATGACATGGACAGTCAGAAGGCGAGCACTGGGTTAGATGACCATCACACCCTCAGAGTCTCAGCAGGGAGGAATTGTAGCTATACTGGAACCTCAAACCATCTTCAGACCTGCAACAGAATCAGAGACCCATCACATAATTTGCTGCTATGTTCACTAATTCGTCACTGTTTATTCTAGTATTTAAAGTCATGTTCAGAATGTTCTTATCAAGAACAGCTACAGACAGAAATGCAGTGAAATCTGAAAAATCAACTTTAAAGAGGCACAGAAACTCTGTGTTTAATAATTATTTATGATTATTATAAGATGACTGTTAGTCCTGCTGTCTTGGTGCTGCTGGATTTACTTGCAGTCTTTAATACAGTGGTTAACAACTTTGTTTCACATCTGGACTTGCTTGTCGGGACTAAAGGCACAACCTTGAAATGGATGATGGGAATTTCACTGCAAAGACATTGTTGTGGAGAACAAAACCTTACAAAATAAAAGGTAAAAGCATAAATTTATGTATATTGTTTGTTTTTTCCTTTTCCTTATACAAGCGTTTCTTCTTCTTACATTTCCTTGTCTCCTTTTCTTTTATTTTTCCTTATGCATTTCTGCCTCATTATGCAAATGAGGAGTGTGGATAGATAGAGGCCTAGAAAACGAACCAGAAACTGATATCCTGGGCCAATTTCTGTGTTTCCCATAAGGAAGCATGGTGATGGACCAACATTGTTTTCTCTGTCTTTCCAAAACAATGTTATCACTTATTTGGCTTTAATAAATGATGATTTTAACTCGGTTTTCATGGTCCTTCAAGATGATTCCTCCTACAGAGTCCAGGGTAACATATGAAATGTCATGTTATTCTAACTGATTAAACATGCATGTAGTTGGAAAACAAACAGCAGCACCAGCTTGCTTTGCAACGTCTGGGCAACTTTGATTCAGCACTTAGACTTTTTCTGTTTCTTGTGTGATCATCAAAATGATGGTTTCTCACAATGTACACAGTAATTATGTTAATATTCTGCCCTTTTTTTCTATTCTATTTTTAAATATTGAGTCACACGACTTTACTTTGATTGCCTGGCTCACTTTGCTGCTGTTGCACAGAAATTTCCCCATATTTCAACAAAGGATGGGACAATACAGGATGTTTCTATTCTATTATAAATACAGGTTGGGGTGTCTGGTCAGAGCTAGCTGGAGTGCCCCCTAGCGGGTGTTTTAAATAACACTTGTGTGGCACAAACTATAAACTTGTCCAGCGTTAGAAGCAGTGAGGACAGAGATTTATAGTTGTGTGTTTCTATAAAGTGTGTTAAGCTGCTAAAACACTTGAGTTCAGATGATCACTCTTTTGCTTCTCAGTCTGAAGGCCGTACGCGCAAAGTACTGACTTTAAACTTCACACCAACAACAGCCACTTATCTGCTCATTTTATTCCGTGTGGTTTCTGTAACTTTACTTTTATTATCATTTCTTGCAAAACAACGCTCTCACATTCTGTATATTTCAGTACCGATACACAGACACAGTTTGTTCAGCCTGGTCTTACTGTGGCTCTTCTCCATCGCAGCCTTCCTTTCTTTCTCATGTGACCGCTGTTGTCTGGCTGATCCTCCGAGGTAGACCTGCAGCCATCCACTTTAAGCAAACCGCAGAGCGGTTCTACTGATCAATCTACCCGAAACTGCCGACGGTGAGCACAAAGCATCTGCAGTTGCTGATAGCTACGACAGCAGCTGGAAAACCGGAAGTTGTTGAGAACGTGCAGCAGAAGGAGGGCGGAATCAAGACCGCTAGCTTCCAGTAGCTAAAGGGCGATTCCACCTAATTTTTCATTACCTTCAGCATCTTTAATGGACTCTAGTTTAAAAACTACTACACCTAGACACTTGAAACTTGGACTGAATTATTCTCCTCTTCAATCTGAATATTTAAAACCTTGTTTGGGATTTGTGAAACATTTTGTATGATTTGTGAAAACTCGATAAAGTTCGATTATCACCATTTTTTTGCATCTCTTTCATACTAGAACTGCTAATTAAAAAACTACTACACCTAGACACTTCAAACCTAGACTAAATTATTCTACTCTAACAGCAGAATATTTATAACCATGTTTGTGATTTGTGAAACTTCAGTAAAGGGCTATTTTACCACTTTATTGCATCTGGGTTGGGCTGCACAGTGGCGCAGTTGGTAGAGCTGTTGCCGTGCAGCAAGAAGGTTCTGGGTTCGATTCCCGG